ATAAAGAAGAGAAAATGTATTGTTGTTCTCTTCCATCAGGGTTGATGATTGTGTACAAGGTGATGCATCAATCCCCCTCCACAGAGAAAATACTTGAATGTGTTCTGGTTTGGTTTACCTCTTCTGACCCTGAATATACACTTTAACTCTGCCTTGTCAGAGGCCAATGGCTTACAGATATGTAAAGCATTTAAACTGTTTTCAAGCTTATTTTTATTAATGGGTTGCTCATATTCCAAGTGACATAGTGTGAACAGAGCAACACTGAGAATATCATATATATGCCATAGAGGTTGTAATCGTAGCATTCCTGTGTTTTTGAAATACTAAATCATGTTTACTACTAAAACATTTAGTCAAACCCACGAATACTTGATTTATTGTGCAAAGCAAGGCTGGAATAACCAGTTGGACAAAAAATGCACGTTTCCTAGGGTCCAAGACTCTTAAAGGTTCCCAAACCATTCAACGTTAATCTTCTAAGGATAGAGGGTGTCGTTTTTCTCATACTGATATTCTGAACAATCTGTGCTGTTGTATTTGCTGTAAAGTGTCTCTACTGTAGGCTATTTTTATTATATGTACAGCACTTTGGCTCGACCAAAAATCGTTTATAAATGTGCTATATAAATAAAACTTGATTTGATTTGATTCTAAATTTCAAATACATGTAGGAATTTGGACCTCAAAAGTACAATATCAACTTGCTTAGTAGTATCTTGAGTCTCTGTCTTCTACCATGGCTCTGTGTCCAAATGTAGCACTTTATTTTACTTGATATTGTGCTACTGCTGCATACTGTATTGCAATATAAAGTAATCAGTTTGCTGAATCGCCCCTGGAAAACTAGCCAAAAAGTGTTGCAGCATAAAAGTAATGTTTGGTCTCTGGGTATGACGATGGACAATAGTGGCACATGAACAAATAATTACCATCCTGTCTAGTTAAAACGCAATATAGTGCGAGGACAAAATGCTATGACACCATTTTATTTTAATCACAGTGACACAATATTGAGACCGGGATAATAAAGTGTGCTCACCGCAGATGGTCTTATATTGACAGTTGACTGATTTATCCGGTTGTATCTGTAAAAAGCACTTAATTGACTTAATAATTAGGGCCGGGACTCGATTAAAAAAATTAATCTAATTAATTAGAGGCTTTGTAATTAATTAATCGAAATTAATCGCATTTTTAATCACATATAAATATTTGACCTAAGAACAGTGAGAAGCAATTTTTTTCACATGGATTTTAGTATACCATTAGGCGCATTCACACCGCAGTACTTTTCCCACAAAGGTTCATGAGAATTTAGTTCATGAGAACTCTTTGAACCTGGGGGAGGATTAGGCAAATGAAGCAGCTGACGTCACTTCTTCTTCTTCTGCTTTGGGTTTACTGGCAGGCCGCAAACCACTTCACGGCGTATACTGCCGCCCAAAGTCCCCGGCCGGAAGTCCCCGGAGTTGGGGACTGGCTTCAGTAGAAGCTGCTGGGAGTCCCAGCAGCCTTCCGAGTAAATCGCCAGAACGCCGACACCTCCTCATCTCCACCGCTCCCATGTTTTATTTTGTGTTACCATAAGTTAGTCTCTCTGCGTTTCTGTGCTGGGCTAATGCTAATGCTAATAATGCTAATGCGAGGATAATAAAATGGCGGCTTCACAAAACTTTTTGGGAGTTTTACGGGGCGTGGTTTGCAATCCGCCCAGCCAATCAGAAATATAGCTCTTTTCTCACAAGAGAGCCGCACGAAAGTCCCTGCTCTCTAGCAGCTCTCTGCTCTCTAGCAGGGACTTTCGTGGGGGTAAAAAGGTTCTCATGAACTAATTTTAGTACCGGCTCTTTTTGGTGTGAACGCGATAAAAGAGGCTAACGTCCACGCTAGCTGCTATATGTTTTGCATTGAGGTGATACTTGAGGCTTGATGTGCTGCGGTGATATGCGAATTCCTTTTTGCATAATTTGCACACAACCGTGCTCTTATCGACGCTTCCATCCGTCCGTTTTTTAAAACAACATTTCCCACTGTTGTTCACTGTGGTTTGTTGTTGTCTGAAGTCATGAACGTTAGTTGGTGCTCCAGTATAATCGGTACGCCTGAAACTCATCCAGTGAGAAACGTTCCGCGGTGCAAAAATAAGTGCGATTAAAATGCGTTAATTTTTTTAACGCGTTAATTTTTGTGTAATTAATTAATCTTAATTAACGCGTTAAAGTCCCGGCCCTATTAATAATTGATTAGTGTCATAACAAGGCTTTCAGATTCTCCGATAGACTGTTTATAAGGAGACCGCAAGGTGACACAACCTGTTAACAGCTGTAGCGCTGACAGCTAATTGTTCATGACTGGAGGATGCAACAGTTACTGACTCTGAGTCTGAAGCTTGCCAGATTTGGAAACAGCTGTGAAGTAGGACAGGTTGGGATGGGCTTGTTACAATTTAATAATGACCTACACAACCATGGTGAAAGGGGATTTTCTGATCCTGAATATTGAAAAACCCTGGGATTTAACATTATATTTAACACAACTCATTGTGTAGATTTTATATACTACACACACACACACACACACACACACACACACACACACACACACACACACACACACACACACACACTGTCCTGCTCTGATGCAAACTGAACTGATATCAGGGATAACAAATCTTTCCTCTAGTCCTTTGTGTGCAGTTAATTGTATTTTTAGGGACATTTCATATCCATAAAAAGAAATGGGCTGACTCTAAACCAATTTTTTTTAAATTTCTATCAATAAGTAAGCAATATAATTAGCACTATTAAAAACTAAACATTTATTTTTCTTTCCTTTTTTCCCTTTTTCTTTATTTACTGTATGTCATGTCTTGTTGATTTGTATGTCCAGTGTTTCCCACAGATCTGAAATATACTTGGGGTGGTGGTGGTAGGGGGGGGGCTTGAGGTCACGTGCAACAACATTAACATTAACCTTTCTGTTGGTCGCTTGTTAGCAGACCCTTCACGCGATGGCAGAGCGAACAGGTACAGGCAGGGCCCTATAGTTGAAATCTACTACCCACACATGAACATATGAGAATGGATTACTATTTTTTTTAAAACACTGAAACTTGTTTATTAATTTATTTTTGGTTCATTTATAGTTGTGAGTGTGTCGGTGCTCCTGAATCAGCCTCTCCTGTCTCCCTCCTCTCCCCCCTGCTCCTCTTTGAGGCAGCAGCAAAGACTAGTTTTCTCTCAACAAGTTTTAATAGTGTATCTTACCTTTTTTCACCTAGTTAACTTTTTATTTATTTATTCATGCATATTTTACTAATCACATTACATTTCATTTAGCTGACGCTTTTATCCAAAGCGACTTATAATGACCGATTACAGGGACATTCTCCCTGGAGTAACTAAGGGCTAAGTGCCTTACTCAAGGGCACACTAGTGGTGGTGTTCCTGGTGGGATTTGAACTCACAGCCTTCCGATCTTCAGCCCACCTCACTATCCATTAGACCAATCACTACCCTCTCAAATGGAAATATGTGTTTACATACATGGTGACCACACTGAGAACTTAGACTAAGTTAACTATCTAAACACTCAGAGAGTCCTTTACCTCACCTGAGCTGAGGTTATCCCGAGCTTGAATGACACACAGAGACCAATCAAGGGCTTTGATTTATGATCTGTATGACAGTGGCCATGTCGGCAGGCCACATCATGTGGACAGCCAGTCACCCTGTGTGAGGCAGGCCACTTAACAGGCCAGAAGGAGGCGAGATCAGAGCAAGGGAGCGAGGGATCATTGTCCACAGGTTAATCGATCGCAGAAGGCGTCGTGGTCACGGACGAATAAAAAAATAAAATAATAATTAAAAAATAAAAACCTAAATGGGTCGCGAAATATACCTGGGCGGCCCGCCCAAGTATAGTCTATGTGTGGGAAACCCTGATGTCTGCTCCTGGACTTTGTTGTATGTAAAATGTATGATGTGCATGGATGATATTGAATCACTCGTGTTACATTACACATGATAAAATGCTGCCACCATGTGGTGAACTTTGGTAACACGTTGGTTTAATCAACATTATATTTATCCAGCCAGCATATAACTTGTTACACTTTAGATGCATGGAATACATTACATGTCACTTGTTAGACGCTTTTATCCAAAGCGACTTACATACTACATACTACACGTACTGTGAACAATCTTTCATATTTTTTGTGACAGTGAGCGCTAAAGAGTAAGGTCTGAAATAATTACTACAAACTAATTTTGTATTTTGAAGGCCATCTATTATGCAGACTCAGTTGCATTGCTCTACCGAATGACTCTTAATTGTGTTTTGTTCCAGCAATGGTACGTTTTTTAAATGAATACTTGTTTTTTTACATGCAACATCTGTTAGCTGTTCAGCTTTTAATCATGTTTCAAACAGCTGATTGTATTGGGTTATTTATGTGTATGACTGTGTATTTAATTGTGTAGTGTACTGTGAATAAAATGTCAAAAGGCCTATCATTTGTTGTCTGTTTGAATTCCTTTGGTAGCACACAAGTTCCCCATTTGAGGATATCTATCTCAGTTCTTGTTTATGGCTACACAACTAGGAATAGTCATTTATTGTAGCTTGACATATTTGCTTTAAAAGTCCAGAATCTAAAAAAAAAAAATTGTGTGTACAGTCTGCGTATTGATGACAGTTTTTTCAGCAACATAAGAGTTAAAACAGGTTGGTGCACCTGTGGAACTGGCTAGGTTAAATAGTGTAATGTAATACTTCAGAATATCAAAACATTTCCGTTTGAAACGTTATAATTCATATTTCAGACTTAAGCTTATATTATGATATCTGATAACTAACTGTGTACCGGTACAGTATAAACAAACACAGTCGCAGCCTCTGTATAAATAAACAAGTGTGCATACATTATTCAAAGTGCAGCCTGTTGTCCTCAATGTGTCGTCATGAGGACTGTGGGTGCGGAAGTAGCCTGCACCGTGTGCAGAGGATGCGACCTGCTGGTGACCGCGCGCACAGGGAAGTGAGATGCATGGAATTGAGACATGACACTGAGATCCGTTTAAATCCCAACAGTTTTGTTTATTTGTGACTTGCCTCCGGTCCATAGACTGTATCTGGTCCCGTTACTCCGGACTGAAGGAACATATTCACTGAGGGATGGGTGCGTTCCAGTCCTCACCTGGTCAACCAGAGTACGTTGATCTGAAGGAAAAGACGGGCTGTGAGTATGAGCTTATCATCATTCTTGTTTTTGCATTTGCGGCTAAGCTATTTTAATTGTAAGACCTTACACAGACACGTAGGATGTGTGGAAACATGAGTTCACTGCACCGGAAATGAGACCTAATGAAATGTTTTCTTGGTTTAAATCGATCTTATTTTGAAAGGGGAATTCATCGTCTAAGAAAGGTATGATCAATATGTGCCTTTTATTGCGTAACTACACTCTTCCAGCAGCCTCTATGTGGTGCAGTATTACTAAATAATTTACTGCAAGTTAATGGAAGTGTAACTTTACCCAGGTAAGAAGAGGTGCTGTAAATAATAGACGAACCACTGTATTGAACGCTTTTACAAAACAAGGTTAAATTAATCAATTGCCTTTTTGTTAAATGCAACAAAAGCTATCGTATTTAACCTGTAGCCTTATTTTAAATTGGTGCGTGTGTTAGATACAGGTGGCACATCACAGAAAATCTGTGTTTTGCATACAATATGAATATCCAAATCTGTGGCCTTGAAAGCATCAATTGATACGTGATGGAATGTAGAGCATATTCAGAGCAAATGTACTTATTTAAATGTCAAAAAGATGACTATCTAACCGGTTTGAATAACATGTCTGTTTTTCTCCATTGTTTTTAGAGGCATTTTACCTATTCGTTTTGCATACACAAGAACTCTTCTCCTTTTCTATGTTTTAGTTTCAATTTCGCAGATCAGAGTCCTACATACAAGGTTCAAGCTGTTGGGCCACAATGGGGAAACTTTGAAGTAAGTGTTTTTTAGAACCTTTGCTGACTATTGTGTATTCTTATGTGATCATTTCAGGTTGTGAAAAACGAATTGGCCTGGCAGTTGATCAGCTTTCTTTGGAAGTGGAAACCTGCCTAACAAGTCTTTTGTCTGCATAAACATTGTGCAACCTGTGTCCATGATTAAATATTACTGTATGCTGCCACTCCTTAAAATCCTTGTCCACTCTCAGGAGGGATCATTTCAATAGCATCCCAGATCTGGCATGCAATCCCATCCGCTCGCAGATAATAGAGGCCTTCTTCGACAGAAGGTACAATGATGATGATTTGAATGTTGCCTGAACTTTTCATATGATGTGAGATAAGATTCAATAATGTTATGTCTGAACTGCACAATCTGCGGGCTGATCTCTATATTCCTCTAGAAACTTTCGGCAGAATGGCGAGGGCCCTGTGGATGAGATCCACTTTGAGGAGTTTCTGATGGTCATGTCCCATTTCAAGGCCCCATCGCCACGCATGATAGAGGAGCGTGAGAGCGTCAGGAGGGAGAAACTGAGATGTGTGTCTTCAATCACATTATCACATGGTTGACATTATCTGTGGCTGATATGCAGCAGTTGAACCAATACCTGTGTTTTTTTTCTCTGTAGTTATATTCAACATGCATGACACAGACGACGATGGGACGATAACCCTCGAGGAGTACAGACATGTAAGCTTCCGCTCACCGCTACTCATGCACTTTAGCTGTCACATAACCAGGGAAAATCACAACAATCCTTACTCACATTCTGAGGAGATTATCATGACATGTTAGTTTAATGTTGTTAAGGTATCTTTTGAACAGTTTTGGATAATTTATGGTCAAGAGACATAGTCTGACACAGACTTGGTGATTTGAGTGTCTCCAGTCTAACACTAGTCAGTGGCCTTTCCTGCAACAATTGCTAGTTAATTAAGGCAAAATGGAGGAATGTCCTTTCCTCAAACCTTTTCAGATGATGTGTTTGATACCGGTAGCCATTGTAGTAATATTATTTGATTTCAACTTGTTGCTCACATCTGTCCAGGTGATCGACGAGCTACTATCTCTCACCGAGGACCTAGGGAAGGACACAGCCAAAGACATTGCTGATGCTGCCATGAGGGAAGTGGCCAGTACTTCAATGGCTCACATGGTATGTGAGATTCAGTTTAGATTAAATTAAACTTGAGTTTGATTCATTGTTTGTCTGTAACCTTTCTTTCTCACACGCAGGAACCTGATGAATTCTTCGAGGGAATCACATTTGAGCACTTCCTTAAGGTTGGTACACGGATCACGCACTATTATAATACATATGTTTGCTAAATCTACTTTCATAGTAAATTAGCATACTTTAAATGTGCATTTCAATATGTGATTATTATAAAATATATTGCAAATAAAAAGTCAGCCACTTTTAAGGAAAGTGAGATATAACGTAATATTAAACAACATAAAACTCTTTCTTTTTCTAGCTGCTGAAAGGCTTTGAGATTGAGTTAAAAATGAATGTTCACTTTTCAATAATGGACACCCCAACGTTTTGTAAGTGAGGTTGGTACACTGCACTATGCAGAGACTTTGGGAACACTCTGGAAGCTCTTTATAATGATTTCACTATTTGTTACTAGTTTTTAGTTTATTGCTTGCATGGAAAAATATGCCTTAATTATGTTTGAATAATGATGTAGATTCAATGAATATAAAGATATAGTAGAAATGGTCAATTTCATTGTAAGCAATAATATGAGATAATAAGTCTACTAACTCTGCATGAAAGTAGTTGGACTAAGCAATAATCGAATATCAATGTCCGACTCTATGCATGCAAATATTGATGCTCAAAAGACTTGAAAGAGTTAATGCCATAAATCAATAATATTAATAATCAGGGATATAGAGATGTATATGTAAAATATATTTATATTTGTCTTATAATAGCAATACAACATTGAAATGCCTTTCACAAGTATGATCCTCAGTGCATGCTCTGCACACTACATTTGCACAATAAAAACCCCATGAACCGTATTCCAGTTAATGGTGCGCCTTCCTGCTAAAAAGGAAATGGGAGTGCTGGCATGCGAGTTAAAATGCCTGCTGGCATTATCTGATCGAAGAATGAACAAGGACTTCATGATTCACCTCAAAAAGATAATTTTGACTTTTTAAGACCACACATATGATGAAAAGTCATAGATATTTTAATATCAGGAGTTTGAATAACTTTATACTGTATGAGAATTTAACATTTCAAGCCAAACTTAAGCGAACAATGCTTGATTCAACAGCTACCACCAGTTACCTTTAACTCCATTGCTTTGGGGTGATTGTTATACACAAAGTCATCTCATACACAACTTTTTGAAAATAATAAATATGAAAGCATTGTAATAATCTTAAAAGTGCATTATAAATGGGAAGCTGGTTATGAGAGTGTAAACGTTACGCAATGACAACAACAACCCCAGTGTGTGATTCTGGCTGCAGTCAAGCTCAAACTGTGACTATCAATAAAATAAGCTTTCACTTGTACCTGTTTATATGTTGTGGTTAATAGGTATTGAGTCTTGTCGTGTGCTTGTTGTTTACTAATACTGCATGTTTGAACATGTTTTCATATTTCTAGTGAATGCTAAATTATTGACCGTCTTGAATGTTTAAAGATAGCCATCAGCACTTCTGATGCTCAATGTATTCAGTCGTGGCTGTATACTGCCCCCCACAGGTCAAAACATGTAAAGCATGTTAAAGGATGAACCTGATGACCTGATTCAATACATGTGTTTGTGTAATTTCTCCAGTCGGTACATTACCTCATGAATAATGTTTAATGTGGAGCTTTCATCGGATACATGTTTGTTCATTGTTTTGACGATGATTATCATTTGAATTATTAGCTGTCATGTCCAGTCCTTGTCACTGATTCCTTTACTTTGTAAACCATCCATATTTTTGCAATAAAATACAACACATGTGTTTCAGAATTCTAACTTTCTACTTGTGTCTTTGGAGAGTATTGTATTCCAATCTTTATGGCCATTTCTCTTTGGTTCTGTAGAGAATTTCTTGCTAGATATATGTTACAGGATATATCATAAAACAACGGGTTTAAAACTAAACACAGCTCTAATTTCTGTTATTGAAGTTAAATCTAAACAGCTAAAACAATGGATAGTTGAGATTAAAATGAAGCAAGTGCATGGCGGCATTTCTTCTTTGCACAACTTTTAAAATGGATAACAATGTTGGTCTTCCCAGAGGATAACACACTTTAATTGTCCTTTAATTCTAATGCCTCAAATGGTTCAAAGTGTTCACTTAATCAATGAATTTGCTTTATGCATTGGCATAGAAATATGTGCAGTCATTCATAGTTAAGAGGTGATGTCTCCCGGTGATTTTTGTAATCCAAAGACCATTTCTCTAGCGCCAGCATGAGGTTGAAGTTTATTATATGTATTTCTCATCAAATATGGATAGCTATACAATTGAGTAAAGACATAGCGTTTTTTTCTGGACCTTGGAAACAGTATAGTTTGATTAAATGTGTTTTGCAGTTCTTCAAAAGGCAACACATTTCCATAGTGATGTGCTGATGACAGGTGGATCGATGGTTACAGGAACTACAACAGGTCCTGGTTATGTTATGCGTTGCATGTGCTCTCCCTCTTGGTGGTGTTGAAGTTGTGCGGGTTATTTGGTGTTTCTTCAAGTCAAGTGCACTAGAGTGTTTTACAGGAGATCTTGTGACTACTCCAAGGCCTTTCCACCACAACTGTATCTGCTGGAGTATACTTCAGCTCTCTCCAGTATTGTACAGCATTAAGTGGGTGGTGAAAATGAATGAATAATGTAGACTGAAGAAACACTGTTGTCCTAAGGTACCCTCTCTGTTTGGGCTTTAAATAAAGCAGAGTTATTACAGGGAACTTGATTCATGACCTAGAGTGAATCCCCATCTACTTCCAGCTTCCTCATAGCTTGTGATGAGAGGAAAGTTTAGTTAAGCATTACGTAATTTCAACAAAAATACTTGGTATGTTATTTATATATGCAATATATTTTTGACATTGTCTGATTTGTATCTATCTATATAAAAGGGGTTTTTAGCAGGTTATCAACTTCTCCTGTTTTCCCCTTCTCACACTTGGGTCTCCATCTATATAAGGATGCAAGTACGCACATACACCGACACCTTGTGACTGGCCAGACAGCCCGCCAGTTTCATGAAATCTTTCCGATCAAATACTGCCTTGTGTTAAACCCATGCGTCATTCTTGATATCACACAGTCAGCGTCTCAGCTGCTTCCTGATTTAGTTTTAACTCCCTTGATACACTTGATGTCCGATTATATTGTTCCTCAGATTGAGTCCAGCAAACAGAAGACCTATGTTGTGAATGAAAATCTGTTTTTCAAGACACCATGTTGCTGAAATTGTATATTGTTTATACAACCACACTGAGAAACATAGAAAAGTTCAGCAGCAAAGCATCATTTAATAATTCTGTATACAGCAAAACAGCAAAGTAGAACCTAACCTAACATAACATATTAGACAACTTAAATATACATATATTACAGAGACATAACTTTACTCTCTTTTAACAGCATGTATCTCATCAGAAACAAAAAAATAAATAATAAATACCATAAATAGGCTTCATTACATTGATGCAGCCACCTTCTTCCTCCCTTTTAAAGTCTTTTTTTTAACCCAGTGTTGTTAAACTGACTGTCTAAGGCCAGCCTTAGGCCATCCTCAGAAGAGTGTGTTGGTGTGTGTCCTCCTTCTGCACACTTGGCTTTTTAGACTCCTCAGTTCTCTGGAAACATTTGACAGGAGCTCCTTGAAGGTCTTCAGCACCACGCAGCCGTAGACCTTCTGCTGGAAGACGTTCTGAGGTGGAGGTAGTGTTGTGGGCCCCCCCTCTGGTAAAGGCACGTTTGGGAAGAGGCTCTGATAGAAGGGTTTTATGAGATATGCCAGGTTCCTGCTGCCAGCTGTGAACCGCCTCAGGTCGCTCAGCAGTGGGCTCGTGGGTAACTGTAAGTCTGTCTGCTGCTTGTACACCCATTCAAAATGTGGGAAGAACTCTTGGAGATGCGTGTAGATGCTCGCTATTTTCTCTGAGGGCTCCAGGCCGGAGATGTTGGGGTCGGGGACGTTGTTTACAGACACCTTGCAGAAGAGCTCTGACATTTCTCCTTGAGAGGCTTTCTGCAGAAAAAGAAGTATATAATCAAGCCACACATCTTTAAAGAGGAACATGAACATCTATGTTTTCTAAGGGTGGGGTACAAGCAGATGAGGATTTAAGACATAAAAAAAGCACTTTTATGCGTGCACTCACATATGTTTTGATTAGGTCGACAGATTCCTTCTGTAAGAGTCTGCTCAGCTTCAAACTCTTCTGCACAGAATCCCCACACTGCTGGTTTCTGCTTGCTGCCACAGTTCTTGATGAATCAAAAGCCATAACCAGCAGGAGAGAGAGTAAAGCTGTGGAGAAAGGAACTGGTCAGTTAAGGTTAACCTACATCCCAGCGGTGAGGGGAACTTTGTTTTAAAGCCACAAGTGAAGGAGGGAGTGATACAAATAAACTGTTGCTATTAAGTCTGCTATATTATCAGTTCAGGCATTTTCTAGCAACATATACTGTTGTTATAGTAAAGCATGTTTAAATGTCAACAATTGTCAGTCTCCTTAAGTATTGTCCAGACCGTTTAAAAAGTAACATTTTAAACTGTCTGTGTTTAAAGAAACTGTGAAGCAGTCAAATTGAATCTGAAAGTTTTCACTCAGTTTCACAACATCTGTAAGAATATAACCACAATAGTGTGCCAAGTGGAAGTATAAAATGCTGTTTGTTTAAATTTGAATAAAAAAGTAGTACAACTTACTTGTTGCTGTTTCCATAAACCGTTGAAAATGCATACTCTTTACATGACCATTCATTCTCCTCCCAGTATCACAGGCACATTGTAAGGACTTGGCATGATCACACCCCTTTAAAACTTTTAAAAGACAGAAAACCACACATTTGTCACAGGAGGAAATGACATGCACTTTGTGAGGCAACCAAATGTCTCGGAATCTCCTCCTTTTTCTTAGATGTGCATTTTTTTTTCTCCTTTATCTCACTAACAAGTGGACAATGCCCCAACACCAGATCAGAATACCTTTATTAAACATGCCTGGGCATGTTTACCCAGCAGGGACCGTGTCTAATTATTTTTGAGTGACCATGGGTAAAACAGGTGATTTATCATATCACTACTTTTTTTAAAATTATAAAATATTTTAAAAAATCTAAAAAGTACCTGCTGACAATAAAACCTTATAAGGCATGCATGCAATTGATTTAAGGATTGAGGTCAGTTAACCCTTTGACACAGTTCATAGATATACATTTTAACCGGCCTCTAGAGAGTGTGGGTGGGAACTTTATCTTTTACACACCGACTAAGTTTCCCAGTGGTAATGTTTTCTAATGCACTTCTTAAATTATAAGAGCAAATGTACTTCTAGGAACTTTTTAAGTTCCTTAAATTGAGTGAAAGCAAACACTGTGCCCATTTAAGGGATTTATGAGTTTCTCTTCATGGATTTACTGGCTTATGGCTTAATAATAAGACAAATGGAAACATTTGTGCTCACAAACAAGTGCATTTTAAGTTATATTTAAAGAATTGGTCTAAAGTTAATTAGGTGTCATATCTGTGGTAAAATAGTCTGGGATCAACTTTCCATATTAGCATTGTTGCCTTCTTCTCTTCACATATTTCTGCAGAATTTCATCATTATAGCTGCTAACAGCTGCACTTCAGATCATGTGTAATTTCATGCGTGCGTTTTCAGAGGAAGCTGGCAGTCAGAGGAAGTGCATTTCTCAATCAGAAACTTTTACAAGTGCGTAAAGGGGAGGGTCTGCTTAGCTCAACTAGGTAATATGTCAGACTCATAACTCCGCAAGCTTCTGCTCATGTTATCAGAATATGTGACTGGGAGGAACATATGAAAATATAGCGTGTTTTCAAGTATTGTCTAATCTTATCTTCGTCACTTCACTTCCTGTTTGGAGACACCCGATGATGTGTTAAACCAGCTGCGTGCATCACAGGGTTAATGAGAGGTCAGACCACGAAACAGATCACTGATCTACATATTGTTGTAGGCATCCACACTAGGTGCTGCATTGCCGTCAAACCACTGACTTCTAGAGAAAAGACAGGGGAACTCGACGCACCACAACACCGTCAGCACTACTGCAGGTAAAGGCTAACCACTCTGCTGCCATCCTCGGGGCTTTCCACTTGCCCCGGGGGATAAGAGGGGTTTGTGGTGTGGCGGGCAAGGGCTGCAGAGAATTCAAGAAAACTACAGTTGAATTTCTGCCAGCATATAGTACAGCCATGCCCAAAAAGCCCCAGATCGACACCCTAAATCAAGTATGTTTACCCTGAAACGCAAGGAAGTGTCACGATCTTGGTGTTATGTCACGGTTTTAGTTTTGTGTGTCTGGTAATGGGTTTTGTTTTGCTGTTCCTTTCTACCTGTTTCCTTGTTTCTTGTCTGGTCCTTTTCCCTGTGTTTTCCTCCCTGTCGTTAGTTTCCCTGGTGTGTCTGATTGTCTAATTGTGTTCACCTGTTGCCCTTGTGTTTCTCCTCCCCTGCCCGGCTGTTTCTCGTCTCGTGATTACCCCTCGCTGTATTTAGTCTCTTCCTGTGTTCCCCGTCAGTTCATTGTTTGTCTCTCCTGTCTCCCTCCATGTTGGTCACGGTCAGTTTTGTGTGTTTGTGCTATCTGTGTTTTTCATGCCATGTTTTTGTGTTATATGAGGTTAAATTGTTAACATAGGTTCAGGAGCATGGCCACGCCTAAAACTCCGCCTCGAACCACGGCCACCCCTATTTATATCCGGCAAAACTTCCGGCCACTGCTCGTCTCCATCCTTTCAAGGACTGACAGCCAGACCGTGATTCACGCCGCGCGTCGTCACGGTTCAAACAAGCTAAACGCTACCACGAGAACATTCAACTTACCATGGATCCCGAACTGCTGATCAACTCGCTGGATCTAAGCCAAGCATCCGAACGGAGCCGCGTGCGCTCTGCAATCAGTGTCTCACACACCAGCCGCCACCGCTCCCACTCAAGCTCCCCCAACGAGACACCTCCAACTCCAGACAGGTCCCAGGCTTCGTCTACTCCGCCAGCGAGGGCAAACAACCGGGGCCACAACAGGCACAGCCAGCTCCAATCTCCCCACCAACGGCAGCCTGCCTCATTAGCAGCCCCCGGCCACTCGCAGCGGCGCACTCGACATGCGTCTCGGACGGAGCCCGAACTCAGGAGGTGGAGAGACAGTCATTCAACTCCAACGTTTCCTGAAAGAAACCGGCATCCACTTTCACCGAAATGACAACAAGGCTAGACTGTTCAACCTCTACAAAGCCTACAGCAGCACAACGGCAAGAACAACGACACACACGGCTCTTCCTGCTCCAGAGCCAACCACCGCGCGTCGCGCGCGCACCACGGTCGTGACCTCACAGGCCTCCGTCCTCCTCCTCGGACACAGCGCGACTCACCAGCACCCCCTGGTGGGAGCCAGGTCGTATTGCCCTCTGTGCCTGCGCTCTGTGTCTGACATGTCGCAGCTCATGTCAACCTTTCTCTCATCCCCGCGCTCACAGGCTTCACGAAATCCCCTTGCACATACATCCCTTCATCCCTCCATCCCTTCTTCTTCTCTACCTTCAGCAGTCCACAGCAACCCAGCTTCTGCTTACCTTCCTCCTCTAGCAGCTAACCCCGTAGCAACAGCGCCTCACCCAGTAACCCAAGGGGCCATGCTACATGCTAACCCATTAGCCGATTCTTACCCAGTACCTTCTTTCCCAACTGGTCTATCCTTCCCCCCCTACCCCATCCCTTCCCCAACACCCACATGTTTTTCCTCCCCGTGCAACCAGCTACACTCTAGCCACAGCAACACCACCCGTCCGCTCTGTGTCTGACATGTCGCAGCTCATGTCAACCTTTCTCTCATCCCTGTGCTCACAGGCTTCACAAAGATCCCCTTGCATATACATCCCTTCATACCTCCATCCCTTCTTCTTCTCTACCTTCAGTGACCCTCGCAGTGAGCAGACGCTCCGGTCTCTCTCTCTTTGACCCTCGCAGTGAGCAGACGCTCCGGTCTCTCTCTCTGACCCTCGCAGTGAGCAGACGCTCCGGTCTCTCTCTCTCTCTCGACCCTCGCAGTGAGCAGACGCTCCGGTCTCTCTCTCTCTGACCCTCGCAGTGAGCAGACGCTCCGGTCTCTCTCTCGACCCTCGCAGTGAGCAGACGCTCCGGTCTCTCTCTCTTTGACCCTCGCAGTGAGCAGACGCTCCGGTCTCTCTCTCGACCCTCGCAGTGAGCAGACGCTCCGGTCTCTCTCTCTCTGACCCTTGCAGTGAGCAGACGCTCCGGTCTCTCTCTCTCTCTGACCCTTGCAGCGAGCAAACACTCCGGTCTCTCTCTCTGACCCTTGCAGTGAGCAGACACTCCGGTCTTTCTCTCTCACCCTCGCAGTGAGCAGACGCTCCGGTCTCTCTCTCCGACCCTCACAGCGAGCAGACGCTCCGGTCCCTCTCTGACCCTCGCAGCGAGTAGACGCTCCGGTCTCTCTCTCTGACCCTCGCAGTGAGCAGGCGCGCCGGTCTCTCTCTCTGACCCTCTCCGGTCTCTCTCTCTGGCCCTTGCAGCGAGCAGACGCTCCGGTCCCTCTCTGACCCTCGCAGTGAGCAGGCGCTCCGGTCTCTCTCTCTGACCCTCGCAGTGAGCAGGCGCTCCGGTCTCTCTCTCTGACCCTTGCAGTGAGCAGACGCTCCGGTCTCTCTCTCTCTGACTCTCGCAGCGAGTAGACGCTCTGGTCTCTCTCTGACCCTCGCAGTGAGCAGACGCTCCGGTCTCTCTCTCTGACCCTCGCAGTGAGCAGATGCTCCGGTCTCTCTCTCTGACCCTCGCAGTGAGCAGATGCTACGGTCTCTCTCTCTGACCCTCGCAGTGAGCAGACGCTCCGGTCTCTCTCTCTGACCCTCGCAGTGAGCAAACGCTCCGGTCTCTCTCTCCGCCCCTCGCAGTGAGTAGACGTTCCGGTCTCTCTCTGACCCTCGCAGTGAGCAGATGCTCCGGTCTCTCTCTCTCTCTCTCTCTCTCTGACCCTCGCAGTGAGCAGACGCTCCGGTCTCTCTCTGACCCTCGCAGTGAGCAAATGCTCCGGTCTCTCTCTCTGACCCTCGCAGTGAGTAGACATTCCGGTCTCTCTCTCTGACCCTCGCAGTGAGCAGATGCTCCGGTCTCTCTCTCTCTCTGACCCTCGCAGTGAGCAGACGTTCCGGTCTCTCTCTCTCCGATCCTCGCAGTGAGCAGAAGTTCCGGTCTCTCTCTCTCCGACCCTCGCAGTGAGCAGACGCTCTGGTCTCTCTCTCCGACCCTCGCAGTGAGCAGACGCTCTGGTCTCTCTCTCTGACCCTCGCCGCGAGTAGACGCTCCGGTCTCTCTCTCAGGGAAAATAATACAAATAATAAAATAAACTTCGCTAGCCAAGCCGCCGGCCGCATCAAGCCGTTCAACCAGGGAACATACCGGGGTGCTCCGGACTCCGAGCGTTACTGCCGCATCTTTGCAGCACGCGCATCCCTCTCTTGCCAATTATGCGGAGCCCCCTCCCACCCGGCCTGCTTAGTCAGCTCTCCACCATCTCAAACACCTCACTCACTTTCCTCTCCATCACGCAACGCCTCAGACTTTAACCGTCTATCACCCGCAGGGAGGCAGGATGGTGTGCAACAATTTCAATGACCTAGGCTGCTCTTTTTCTTGCTGCCGCCTCATGCACATCTGCTCTTTCTGCGGCGGCGCTCATGCCAGGAGCACCTGCCCTCACAACCCAACTACATCAGCAAATTGACTAGCACGGCACCTCAGCACACCCGTCAAGATAAGCAACTTAGCTACCGCCTCAGCGAATCATCCAGATAGTCTGTTTACTTTCTCACCAATGGCTTCACACATGGTTTCCACCCAGGCATAGCAATACTGCCTGACACATCTCACATCTGCCACAACCTTCAGTCCGCTTTAACAGAACCTCACACCTTCGACACCTTACTGGCCAAAGAAGTCAAAGAAGGATTCATGATAGGCCATTCAATAGTCCCCAAACAACCACAGACTCCCCTATGTGCTCCATCTTCTCGACGACTTTCTCACGGGCACTCCACCATCCTCACCCCCCTGCCACGGGCTGAGCACACTCATACAAATATTTTGCAGACCTTGGCATTACTCTGTCTGAAGAGAAAACCTCAGGGCCTACAACCTCCATTGAGTTTCTAGGCATCACCCTGGACTCAATGTCTTTCTGGGCTTCTCTATCCTCAGAGAAAGTACAGCGCATCACCCTCCTCTTGTCAAACTACTTACAGGCAGACAGATGCACGAAACGGCAGCTGTTAGCCCTCCACGGCAAACGACTCATATTCACACTCCGGAGTAAAACGGATCAGCTGGGAATTTCTTTCCACATCTTCGGCCTGAACTCGTATCCCAGCCATACGAGCCACTAACCAAATACCTCAGCGCAAGGTACGATGCATACGCAACGCCTCAACACCCACTCTTTCTCACCGAAACAGGGAAAACGGCCACACGTTTCTGGTTCCAGAAACACTTCCACAATGTGTTGCTTATTTTGGGGATATGCTCAGAATACTATTCGAGCCATTCCTTCCGCATTGGCGCAGCGTCCAGACCGGGCTTCTCTTATCCAATCATCTAGGCCCTCGGCCGCTCGTCATCCCAAGCGTATCACGCTTACATCCGCAACAATCTCAATGATCTCAGACACGCTTAAGTCAGCTGCTTTAATCCGACTCTTTTGGGGGCCCGTAATCAGCCCACGCAGATCATGCCGGAGACGGAACCCCCACTCTGAGTCTCCCACTGCACGGACCACAGCTCGTCCTCCCAGATCATCCCTTCACCCCCCTCATATCATTCACATGTTACTTCAATAAACTTACAAACATCACACTGTTGTGGCGTGGTTCCTGCTAGTGAAATGAGGTTACATTGTTAACATAGGTTCAGGAGCATGGCCACGCCTAAAACTCCGCCTCGAACCACGGCCACCCCTATTTATATCCGGCAAAACTTCCGGCCACTGCTTGTCGCCATCCTTTCAACCCACCCTCCCTCTCCCTTCTACCCATAAAGTTCCCCTTCCGACTCACACCGAGCGATGCATCCATGCATCCATCCATCCCTTCTTCCCTCCCTCAACATCCCTTCATCCCAACATCCTCTGCCCGTCAACATTTATATTTAAACTGTGCATATTTATATACTGTATACTAACATTTTAATTCCTGGTATTGTCTGGGGGCCCGTAATCAGCCCACGCAGATCATGCCGGAGACGGAACCCCCACTCTGAGTCTCCCACTGCACGGACCACAGCTCGTCCTGCCAGATCATCCCTTCACCCCCCTCATATCATTCACATGTTACTTCAATAAACTTACAAACATCACACTGTTGTGGCGTGGTTCCTGCTAGTGAACAGCTTTTAAAATAAAGCTCGCCTTTTTGTTTCTAGTTCTGTTTTTTTTAAATATGCATTTGGGTCCTACCTTTTTCCGCGATTCTCCAAGCTTAGAAGAAACTGGACGCTCCTGCAGTGTAACTTCCCTCTCACCTCCTGTTCAAGGTTCTTGTTTTCATAATTTATCTTTGGCCTGCATGTGTGTTTGTAGTTTCACATCTTATTAACATATACAGCATTTGATATGTGAAGTAGGTCACAGCATTCACATCACACCAAAGAAAAGCAAAAGTAAGAAGTCCTAGACCACATAAGTAAGCACTTCAAGGAAATGAAACCACAAACGATAAGAAACGCATTGTCATAAGATGCAGGATGTCAATTGAGACTCCTTTGTTTCAACAGAATCTCTTTTATTTTATCTTTGAACTGCACAGGAAATGGTGAATACGGTTGTTTAGGAAAGTCCCCTTTATTCTAACTAAATACATCTCTAGTAACTCATAATTCACACAAATTGTAAGGTTCATAACCGTTCTGAAGCTCTCAGGCAAACCTTATTCAAGCACCCCAATAGCACTTTTTGTTATGGAACCATTTGTCCGCAAGGCTCCAGTTATGTGACCAGACAAAAGGCCTTACTGCATATGAGAACCTTTTTCATCAAATTTCAGAAAGTTTGTGAAAATGTAAAAGGCTGAAAAATCTAGAGGAGCCATTCAACTTCAGAACACACTCTGGTCAAACATAACAAATTCAGATTTGTAGCTTTCAACGTGTAAAACAAGAGCATTTACGTCATATTGCCATCAGAAATTGACTGTCATTATGTTCCTCTTTTTAAAATACTTTGTTACTTCAGGGGACATCTTCCACCTTTCAGCCCTGTGAGG